GTGGGATGTTCAGACGGGCCTTCAGGGAGTAGTGGTCCGACCATGGTACTGCCATAGCAGTAATCCGGTCCACTGTAATCCCCGCAGCGAAGATCAGATCGAGCGTGTGCCCGGCCTGGTGCGTGGGGACCGATACACACTGGGAGAGCCCCAGTGCCTCCATGGATGACACTAGGTCCGTAGCCCGGCCGGAGGTCGCGTCATCAGCGTGGACGTTGAAATCACCCAAGACCAAAAGCCTTGGGTGCTCCAACGCCCAGCCAGACACGGCCTCGAGCAGGGACGGCAGGCCACTGGCCGGTGCGTTAGGCGGTCGGTACACTAGCCAGATAGCCAAGTTCTCCTCAGTCTCCAGCACCAGGCCGACACACTCCAAGCCCACGATCTCCGGCGAGGGGAGGGCCCTACACCACGCCACAAAAAGGTGGCGATGGAAGGGTTCTCTCCTGACAGCACCTATGAGCATAGATAAAGACAAAACAAAAGCGGGGGGGGGGGAAGGAAGGGAAGGGAAGGGGAGGGGAGGGAGGGGAGGGGGGCTCGGTCTTCGCCCTCTCTCACAGGGCTACACCACGCCACAAAGCAGTAAGGGGGGGAACTCCTTCAGACTTTGCCGTCTCTCACAGGGCCGCTCCACCAGTCTTTGCCCTCTCTTACGGGCCACTCCGCTGATCTTCGCCCTCTCTCACAGGGCCACTCCCCCACAGCAGAACTGTGGGCCTTGCTTCGTCTCCCGAGGGCTCTTCATTCGCCCATGGGAAGGCTTTTCTAGAAACTGTTTCTACAATGTTTTAGACAATCCTGAGAGATCCATGAAATTGTTGATGATGAATCAGTTGAAATGAAATAGAGACACACCATATGTATACATCATTGTTCAGAAGACTTGTGTCGAAACGGCAGAACATTCCAGAGAGCACCATCTTCACTTGTATTTGATATGTTGTGCAAATATTGTACACTTTTTTGTATGAAATCTTTTTGATTAATATTTCAAATTTATTAGCGCAAACTCCTGCACAGTTTTTTTGTTACTACTTCGACCTTGTTATAGCATTACAGCCCTAAAACAACCTGTGTTAGGAGGTTCTTGGAATCCCCAGCTTTTATTAAGAAGTACAGTGTTTAGCCCCCATTGCTGGGAGATATGCCTTCCCCCTTATATCACCCTCAACAAAAAGGGCTAGAGAGTTTTTAAAGGACCACTTGAAAATCAGAGGCTCTGATAGAATGTTATGCTATAATATAATAGCCTAATTTATCTTACAGGTTTATTATAAGGATAAAGTGGAGGAGAGGAGAACAACGCAAACTGCTCTGGATAGAAAGGCAAGGTGTAAATGAAGTAAATAAATAAATATATCAATGGTCAATTTAAAAGAAAAACAAGAAAAAGCCCCCCCCCCAAGCAGCATGGGACTACTGGCGGGGGACTGGGGCAGGGGAAACCTACTACGTGGAAGTCCCATTGCTGCTGTGTCGTATCAGCAGCTGTAACTAGAAGGGAATACAGGATATGCAGGAGCAGTGTAGTCTCCATATTTTGAAAGAGCAGAACTCACTGAAGAATATTATGCAGCCCTGTCCTCAAACACCTTTTTCTAGTCACATCTGTAGCAGCAGTCAGTCTGTAACCAAAGACCAATTTGTACTGGAGAACCACATGCAGGTAGCTTGCCACGTGGATTGCCAACTCCTGGTTGGAAATTCCTAGAGATCTGGGGGTGGAGCACGGGGAAGGGAAGAGACCTCAGAGGGAGGCATATAATGCCATAGAGCAGAAGTGTCAAACTCATTTGTTACAAGGGCCGGAGCTGACATAAATGTCACTTTGCCAAGCTGGGCCATGTGTGCTGTAAAACGTAATGCCAGGTACTGGAGATATAAACTAGATAAAAGACAGCTGCTGGTAAGCTCCGAGTTGTTGTATCCTCATTGCAAGGCCCCATGGGCTGGGAGGGGGGTTCAAAGGAAGACCCATATGGGTGCCCTGGAGAGCCAGTGGTGCAGCACTGGGCAGACGCTCCCATGCTGCTTAACTGCTGCAGACGAGGTTGTTCCACTATGCTGAAGCCACAATCGGAGTGGCTCCGCCCACTCCCCCACCCAAGCAGTTTCCTGTTCCCTCCCTTGTACTAGTTGCTCACAGGCCACATAAAAGCCCTGGATGGGCCAGTTCCGGCCCCTGGGCCTTATGTTTGACACCCTTGCCATAGAGTCTACCCTCCAAAGCAGCTATTTTCTCTGAGGAACTGATCTCTGTAGTCTGGAGATCAGCTACAATTCCAGGAGATCTCCAAGCCCCACCTGGGGATTGACAACCCTAAAATGCCAAATAAGAAGATTAATATGGGTTTCATTCAATGCACCTGAAACCCATTAAGCTAGGGTTGCCATCCCGCTGGTGGGGTCAGGGGTTCCCCCGATTTTAGGAGCCCCAATCTGCTGCAGCCCAGCTGGCTGGCAGGGGAAGCTCCACCCCCGAGAAGCCCCCCCTGCTGCCGTGATGATGTCACCCAGGAATGGCGTCAGCACGTTTCCTACATCGGGGGCAACACTCTAGTTTTAGGGCAAAAACCCCCATAGAGTTTTGCCCAAAACCTAGAGTGTCGCCCCCCAATATCAGAAATGTGATTATGTCACTTTAACGAGGAACCAGGAGGCCCCCCGCCAGCAGCCAGGTAGGACCTGGCAACCCTACATTAAACTGTGTTCTACTGAGTCAGGCCTTTGGTCTACCAAGGTCTACTCTGACTGGCAGCAGCTCTCCAGGGTCTCTGGCAGAGAGATATTTCACACAACCCACTACCTGATCCTTTTATGTGGAAATGCTGGGGACTGTACTTGGCACCTTCTGCATGCAAAGCCGAAACTCTGCCACTGAGCCACAGCCCCTCCTGACTGGCTAGATGCGTTTCCTGATATGCATGGGGATGTGCATGCCACGGCTTCCGGCTCACGCCTTGCTGGCCTAGGACCACCCACAGATGGTGTGACATGGAGTCTGGCATGTCAGTAGAACTGGAATTAAACTATCCATTTCAAAACAGAAGTACTGACAGGCATGTTCTTTCCCCAGAGAGTCTGAATATAGGCTTTTCACCACACGATAGCTCACCGACTCGACTCCATGAATCAGAGCCTTCTCGGAGGTAAAAAGCACTGTAACAATAAGGTGGGAGATCTATCATAGGTTTAGAAAATGAAAGGCAATTATGGGCTTACCTGTTGTGACCCCATGAACAACTCCCTCCTTGGTCTTGGAACCTGTTTGTGTTGTGGGTTTTTAAAAAAAGAGAGAGAGAGGAAAATCAATCATCAGTCGAGCTCAATAAACTATTTCTTAGTACACAAAAGCACAGAACTGGTGAATAATAGCAATTCATCCTCCTTCCTACCCCCAAACGGCAGCAAGTTCCAGAGGCAACATTTTATAAGGTCAGTTTCTTTGTGAGGATAGAACAGCGCAGTCTTCTGGGGCCTTTCATACTAAAGTGTTTATTTACTGAAGTACCGATTGAGTCAAAGATAGCCAGGCACACTTGCTGGTTTCTAAAACAGGCCCAGTCCCCCTAAGCAACCACAGCTCCCTCCACAAGATTACTTTTTTGGGGGGTGGGAGAGATTATAATTTGTTTGCTGGTCAACTACAAATTGAAAACCTGTTTCCATTAGCTCCCCCCCCTCCCCCGCAAGAGAGACATGGCCTGCATTCCTAGCTGGCTCTCATCCCATTCAGCCATTCAAAGTTTTCTACTCTTGTCCGCAGCAAGCCCATACAAGTGTATCCACAGAAGAGGCATATATACACATAAGGACTTGCCATACTTATCCATCTCCATGTGCATACACCTGGCAGTGGAACCAGCAGGCATATCAGCATGTTCCCTCTAAAATGTTTTGAATGATCACACAGGGATTTTAATTGATCAAGAGTATGCATTGCTAGTGGTCAACCCCCAAACTGAACCCTGAAGAATGGCAACGCGTATTCGAGACAAATTTATCAATCTTCTGTTGTTTACCATCTTTTAAATCGGCTATATCAGAAGAAGAGCGGCGGCGTTTTCGGTTCGGCATTAAGCCAAATTACTCCCAAAGCTTTAAACAATGCTGCTCAAGTGAACTGCTTCCTGTCGGTGATACACAATTATAGCCTTGCAGCATAGAGAAATCTGAGGGGCGATTATATAAAACTGATAAGTAGAATAAAATGAAAATAAAAGTCCACCTACAGAGAGGAGCTACCAGCACTCTTCTCACAACGCCATCTTGAACCGCTAGCAACAGGCACTAGTTTTTAACAAGGCATCCCCAAAAGGCAAAAATGTGGACAATAACTCGTCAGGGGCAGAGACCAGAAAACACTAATGCTTCCTGATAAGGAGTGACAGCTGGGGCGTGTATTAATTGGTGCAAGTGCCGTCAAGATGCAGCTGATTTATGGGGGGCCCATTGGGCTTTCAAGGCAAGAGATGTTCAGAGGTGGTTGTTCCATTGCCTGCCTCTGCATTGAAACCCTTGACTTCCTTGGTGCCCTCCCACCCAAAAACTAACCAGGGCCAACCCTGCTTAGCTTCAGAGATCTGACAAGACTGGGCTCAACTGGGTTATCCAGGTCAGGACACATATTAATTAGGGATTGTGTATTTACATATCTATCTAAAAAATCCAGGTGAAAACCTAAATGCTGTAAAAGTCTCCAGTTTGCCTCTTTAAGGGCTTAGTTTCTCCTGCATCCTTTATATTATAGCAGCAAACACACCAAAACTGAAAGCAGTCTGTCTTTTGTTCAACCACACTGCTGCTTTACTGCTGTAAAGCCGTTCAAAAAGCACTCTACTGGTAAATGCAGCAAGATTCAGTAGGCTATAAAGGACATTTGATTTAATCCACTCTTTTAACTGGGTCTACTAAAGGTATGTCAGAACAGGTGCTCAAAGATGGGCACATAATGAAAACCAGCAAGCGAAAGGGCCTGGGGTCAGTCCCTGGCATCTCCAGTTGGAAGGACCTTGGCTAGCAGAACTGGAGGAAACCATTTCCTGAAACAAAAGAAAGTAGTCAGATTAAAGAGTACTAGCTTAGTCAGACCTAAGATCTACCTAAGCACAAGACCCCTTCATATTTGTGCTCCTTTCTGAGTTGGTTTGGAGCGTTCAAGTTTTTTTAGTTAGTTAAAAGCAGTGGAGCTGGTACGCTGTTATTTTTTCCTGCTAATGCTGGGGAAATATAAAATATTTGAATCAGGTGTGCATATCTATAAAGGAATTAGAATTTAAGGCTGGCATTTGTAGTGTCAGAGTTAAAAAGAGGGAATGGAAACATCACATGGCCCTTCCTTTTTATTGAAAATTTAACATCAGATACCAAGACAAACCAGTGACAATAAACTGTCATAAATATGTGAGGTCATAGTAAATAATCAAGTTGTTGTTCAGTCACACAGTCGAGTCCGACTCTTTGTGACCCCATGGACCAGATCACGCCAGGCCTTCCTGTCTTCTGCCGTCCTCTGAAGTTTGCTCAATTTCATGTTCGTTGCATCTGTGACACTGTCTAACCATCTCATCCTTTGCCATCCCCATCTTCTTTGACCTTCAATTCTTTCCCAGCATCAGGGTCTTCTCCAGTGAGTGCTCCCTTCTCATTTGGTGGCCAAAGTATTTGAGCTTCAGTTTCATTATCTGGCCTTCCAGGGAACAGTCAGGGTTGATTTCTTTTAGGATTGACTGATTTGATCTTCTTGCAGTCTAAGAAACTCTCAAGAAACTCTCAAGAGTCTTCTCCAGCACCATAGTTCAAAAGAATCTATTCTTCGGCACTCGGCCTTCCTTATAGTCCAACTCTCGCAGCCATGCATGACTACTGGGAATACCATTGCTTTGACCATGCGGACTTTTGCTGGCAGGGTGATGTCTTTACTTTTTATCATGCTGTTTAGGTTCGCCATCGCTTTCCTCCCAAGGAGCAGGCGTCTTTTAATTTCATGGCTGCTGTCACAGTCTGCGGTGATCTGGGATCCCAGGAACATGAAGTCTGTCACTACTTCCCCTTCTATTTGCCAAGGAGTGATGGGGCCGGATGCCATGATCTTATTTTTTTTGATGTTGAGCTTCAAGCCCACTTTAGCGCTCTCCTCTTTTACCCTGAGCAAGAGGCTCTTTAGATCCTCTTCACTTTTTGCCATTAGAGTGGTATCGTCTGAATATCTAAGGTTGTTGATCTTTTAATTAATTTAGTAAAACATCTATAACACAGTTCTGATCAAAATGGTCTTTGTTTTGAGCAATAAAACTTAAAACAGGGTACCAAAAATTATAATAATCAAGAGAGGCAGAGTAAGGGTCTTTATTTGAGGTTTGTATCAGTATCTTTTCCATATGCTCCTGTACCAAGTCTTACTATGCATTGGGTGTTAGCCGCATGAAACACCCAAGTCCGCACACCTCCAAGGCAACTTGCAGAAAAGTGTGTGCAACAAAATAATAGCCTCTTCCCAGGGCTAATGTGTTGGCTCTTTCAGCCTTCGACAATGAAACTGTCGCTACTGTATCTGAACACACTTGAAAATTCCTAGTTACCAGGGTGGAGAAATCAAAATGGATTATTATGGGGGGGGGGGCAGGCTGCCCTGCCTTTGTCATGTCAGATGACTTCATCCTCCTCACAGAGCCATACAGTAGGGCCTGCTAAAGATGCCCGTTCTTCTGCTGGAGACAATTGGCTCTCTGCCCGCCAATTACGAAAATGGCCAACAATCACAGCACAGAGCAGAGGAAGCGCTGTATTTCTTCTTCAGAGCCAGGCTTTGATTTTTGAGTGGGGGAAGAAGAAATGAGGTATTGCAAAGACAAAAATATAACCCATGCCTGTAAAACAAGAAAAGCTAAATGCTTCAGCGTGACCTGGAAGGGAGACTGTATCTCACACTTCACCAGGAATACTCTCTATTTTCTGGTCCTGCTCTCTGGTAAAATCCCTAGGCTGAATCCAGCCAACTTGTTTGCTCAATTTCAGCCAATTCCCCTCTCATTACATTTGTTCATGGAAGTCTCAGAATCTTTCTGGGTGATGAATTGAGACTGTTAGATCCAACCTTTTGATTTTATGTCTAGAATGCTTTGAAAAGAATATTAGCGAGAACGGCTAGTCATTTTCCAGGGTGTGGCACCTTCTTTCCTAGGGTCTCTAGAAGATACGTTTCTTATCGGCATGCCAGTGGCAGATGTCACATGCATTTGCATGCACCAAAAGCCAGGTACGGTGTACACACTACTATCTTACACCCCACAGCTGCTGAGGTATATTTAAACCAAATTAAAAGAATGTGCCATCAAGACACAATCAAGTCATGGTGACCCCCCCCCCCATCCACAGGGCATTCCAGGCAAGAGATGTTCAGAAGTGGTTTGCCATTGCCTGCCTCTGTGTAGTGAGCCTGGACTTCCTTTTCAGTCTCTGATCATGGCCAACCCTGCTTAGCTCCCAACCTCTGATGAGCCCAGGCGAAGGCCACTATTTTGAACTTTTTTGCCATCAAGTCACAGCAGACTCACAATGCATCCCATAGGGTTTTTCAAGACAAGAGAGGTTCAGAGGTAGTTTTACCATTGCCTGCCTCCACGTCACAATCCTAGTATTCCTTGGAGGTCTCCCATCCAAATACTAGCCAGAGTTGATCCTGCTTAACTTCTGAGCTGTGATGAGATCAGGTTAGCCTGGGCATTTTGAGCTATAGGACAATGATATTTCTTAGTATTTCTTTAACAGCACACATGGCTGAGTTTGTCTTCAAAAAACTGTGGAAAGCAGGCCATGGCAGTTTAAATAAAGAGTGTAATTGTTGGATGGGCTTGGGAAATTACCCTTGCTATATGTACATTTTCATCAGTGAAATGCTGACACATACTCCTCTGCTTTAGAGATAGTGAAAATTATATAATACCTTTGGATGGTGTCATGTGTTATGAAGAGTGCCTACCTTTTTTTTTCCAGCTGTCAAGTCACAGCTGACTTAAGCAACCCCATAGGGTTTCCAAGACAAGAGACAAACAGAGGTGGTTGGCCATTGCCTGCCTCTGCAAAGCAACTCCGGACTTCCTTGGTGGCCTCCCACCCAATGTTCCCTCTAAGCTGTGGAGTCTTGTGAACAAAAATTCTACTTTGTGAGCTACTGGCATTAAAGTTGTGAGCGAGTGATCTGGCTCCTGCATAAATTAGTTGGCTCTGGGGCCATCCTTCCTGAGCTAAGACAAAAATGTGTG